CCTTGTTTGTTTACCTGGGTTATGTATTCACCCAGATTTTTATCAAATTTTCCAGGAGTCCCTCTTGTTTTCTTGTTCTGCCGCTAGAAGACTGTTTTTGATTGTTTGATAAAGCAAAAGTCTTTACTTTACGCAATCTACTACTTTGTGTTCCTTTAATTTCTTTTTTCAGCAAAGCATATAAATCGATACTACCACATCATTTTGATCTGAATACATTTGAAGATTTCAGGGGAACATTGGCATATCAGTCACATACTGCTGCCTTTCTTTCACATTTCATATGGACCACTGCCATTTTTTCCATTTATAATTAGTGCTGTAAATGTAAATATATCATCAGTACGTGGCTACAGCTGTTTCTGATTATAGTGGTATTTTGAATGAGATAAAAAGCAATCCAAACTAATAAATTAACATTAAAACAGACAAAGACAACAATTGAAAGCTGTGACTTATGCTACACCCCCCCCTCCCTTGTGCTCTTCATTTAGATCACTGGGTTCAAATAATGACAAAGTGATCACTACTGAGGCTGCTTGCATAGAGAGGAACAGCTACGTCCATAACAATATATATCAATTTGTTAGTTGTCAATGAAAGTTTACCTGGAGAAAAGTGTACCAGATCACCAAAAGATTGGCAAGAGACCTTGGAAACTCATGGAAAGGGCCAGTAGAAAAGAAAGGTGGTACCATGGCAAGAAAATTAGAAGTAGAAGATCAGACAATTTGGTGAGAAAAAAACTTTCAAGAAATTTTTACTAGACCTCTCCCACTGAACGAATTCGATTTTGATGAACAACAGCCAATGGAGGAATTGGAACATACACACGGATGTAATAACCATGCCAGAAGAATCACATTTTTTACAGAAAAAGTTCGCCTTGTAATACTTTTTTTCCAAAACAGAAGTGCTACAATTATCATCTGAAACAACTCCCACCATTCTTTAATGAGAATATCTAGCCAAAAAAACAAATCAAATATTTTAGCAGCATTATGATAATAAATCTATATTAACTCCAAATCTAAAGACTGCATTGGCAATGTTCATGAAAGAGCTTAAAATGCATGGATCGTTTTTTGTAAAATTAATAAATCTGGAAATCGTAGTCAAAGATAATCTCACTTAAGACTTAATTAGAAATACAGTGTATATGATACCGTTGTTTTGTGATGTGTGGGTCAGAGACGGGAAACAAACGAAGGGATTCAACCCATATTTAAAAAGTCTCCAAATAAAATGTTTACGAAGAATTTTGTTTTGATCATTGTAATGAATTTATTACATATTACACATTATTGAAATAATGAAAGACATAGATATTTAGGATATGTTTTGAGAATGCCAGAGACAATATCGCCCTAGTACTATTAGACAACCGCAAGTCGTCGACAGCTCTCTTCCTTGTATATTGTATAACTGACGGTATACGGAAAGAGAAAGCGGGTACATGTATATATTATTAAAAATGGAGCAGCCCGTTGCATCGAAGTAGGTTATATTATGAAGCAGACCTTTGTGCAGAAATTCGAGGTTCGAATCCGAAAGGTATCAGGACTTTCTTCGTCATCCATTCTCCTGATACTAGTCTGTTGTAGTGGTGCCCTGACAGTGACAGGGGCCGAGTGGTCTACCCTCGGAATTACACATCTACACAATGGTTCGTTGGGCGCTATACCCAGTGCGCAACACCAACTACCGATTTGGTTCAGTCGATGCTGTTGGGGCCAGCCAAACTTTTCCTCTTAGAGGAGCAAAAAGCTATCATTTGGCACAACGTGACCGATTCGACTCGCTACTTCGGAAAAAACAAACGAATGCTTTATTTTGAAGGTCACAGTCGAATTTAGTTGAATAAGTGGAATTCGATCGCATTGTGCCAATGTGCCCCCCCCCCCCACACACACACACCCTTATGAATGAAAAAGCTCAGCCTGAATCAAATGAATCAACATGAAGAATGGGTGATTACGTTTTCAAGTTTCTTTTGGACGCTACAGTAGAAAATGTAACGTAATTACCCTATCATTGTGTTATAACCTTGCGTCATCATCTTACACATTAATACTTATATTTCATTTACGACAAGTGTCGCCCGAGATGTGGTAAATCAAAATTAACCTTAAAAATCAGTCTTGGTAAAACTGAAATCAAAGAAACTTAAATGATATTAAAATTGTGTTTACGCGTGTATTGAGGAGTATTGCAGCATCAACTATGGTGGAATGGACATTGCAATGTATTGTATATCAAATGAAAGGAGCATTTTTGTGTGTAGTCAATAACGATGTTTTATTACGATAGTTTGAAACAGATTGGAAAAAAGAGCAGTCTAAAAAAACAAAAAAACACTCAAAACTTGGACTAACATTACGTGTGCTGATAATGTAGGCCACGGACTGTGTTAAATTTTGGACATAATTATCAGTTATACATCCCAAATGTCACAGAGCTGCAAACAAAGCGTCTGAACTGGGAGCAAGGTCATGTTTTTTCAACTGCTGTTTCTTGGGGCCCCACATACATTATCTGCAAGATACATTATCGGGTCTATTTTTACTGATGACTACTCCGTCATTGATATGATGTTTATTTCCAAGAATTGTCCGAAGGCGTTGGCCTGTGAGAACGTGCTTTGTCATGCATAAAAAGATATCTTCTTGAATAACATGGTGACGACAATAAGGATACGACGAGACGTTCTAGCACTTGCGGGATCTATATTCGTTTATTTTCACAAGTGGGGTAATTGTTTGTTTATTCCAGCCATGCCATCCCAAACCGTGGCAGTTTCGTGGTCTGTTTCTCAGTGACAGCTGATTATGTCCGAAATCTAACTTGCGCAGTCCATGCTCAAAGAGCAGGGTTGGTGCTCTACTTGAAACCAATGGCTTGTAAACAAAATATATCAATGAGCACATTATATTTAACGTTAAGGTCAAGTTTTGCATGGTTGCTATGATTGTTCTGTTTTCCAATTTGTCTGAAAATATTTATTAAATCATAATAATTCTCCAATCAATTGACATGCTATAACTCATGCTCATTTCACCAGTATTAATACACACCAATACAAGCGTTAACACATTTTTACGTTAGTTTGGTTCTACCCAATTTTGCCAAGCATAATTTTCAAAGGCTAATTTTGAGTGGCCATATCACGGGGGACTATTATCGTAGATGAATTAATGTGTCAAATTTTAATGATGCAGATTAATTTATTTCGCCTAGAGTCTTATGCTGCATGAGTGGGTGGTAGTGCAAAGCTCATGATGACTGCGTGAATATAATATTTTCAAGTTGTTGGGGGTTTTTTGGACGCCACTGCGTATAGGCCCTAAAACACACACACACACACACACACACACACACACACACACACACACACACACACACACACACACATACACACACCACATACTCACACATACACACACACACATATCAGCAATAGAAACTCTCCACTTTGGGAGAAGCCTGTATTTGGCTTATCATTGAATACATTTTAAAAATTGACACAGACATATATACATGTATTTTAAAGTATGTCAAGAAGTATATCACGTTTTTTTTTCTTGGCCAGGTCTCATATAATATGGTTGCACAGTGTAAGCACAAACTGGTACCCCTTAATTTCAAATTTCACATAAATAGCGGGTATATTGTCACTCCTTGCACTGATGCAAGCTTTACATGATCTGGGCATTGATCGAGTTATTAAAAAAAATCAACATTAATAGATGTGGTAGTTCACACAGCTCTTTAATTAATACTTGTCCCAGTCGCTGTATAATGTTAATGTCGTTTTGGGAGCTCACTCTTTGGCCCAAAGGGTGACATGTGTTGCGAGTAGCCTGGTCATGACGAAACATTCACATTTTGCTGGCAGACCTTTTTCTGAAAACGGGTTCATAGACAGAGAAATAGAAATGCGAATTCAAAAAGCCAATGCAATCAAAGCTCGCCTCCATCCCATCTCATCTAAACATCTCCATGGACACAAAGAGACAGATTATCACTTCAATATTCATGCCAACATTATGCTTCCAGAGTCAGACCTGGACACAACCCATGAAAGCAAAATCACTGCCTGCAAAATGAAATGCCTCCACAAAACCCTTAACATCATAAGACGAGACAGGGAGAGAGATGAAGAAGTAAGAGCAGCTATTGGTACTGAGTCCTGCCTGCATTTCATAGAAAGACAAAGTATAAAATGGTTAAGGCACCTGTTACGTTTATATAATATTTGTATAATATAGTATATTATGCATATTATATATATATATATATATATATATATATATATATATATATATATATATATATATATATATATATATATATAATATATAAATGTATAGGCCTATTTATATAGTTCGCCTTGCCAGCCAGCCTCCTACTCCTAGCTTATAACACCAAACAGTAGGCTTTAAAGGAAGAGGAAGACCATGCAAAAGGGATTGAGGGTGTCAAGGAAACTCGGAAAAAATAATAATATCCCAGCTGAAACAGCTGCGGGGCTGGCCTACAAGAGAAAAAAGCATCTCACCTCAACACTTAACGGTAAATAAAGGGTGAGAGAGTAAAGTAGAAAGTAATTTAAGGTAGTAAGTGGTGGTGGCTTAAATAGTCGTAGTAGTTAGTAGTAGTAGTAGTAGTAGTAGTAGTAGTAGTAGTAGTAGTAGTAGTAGTACATTATGCTGCTACATGTACATAACAATAATTAATATAATATTATAATTATAGCCTGGAACATAATAATAATGTTGTTGTTGTAGCTACAGCAGAAGCAGTGTTGTTTTAATTTTAATTGTGTTTCCCACAACTATGGCAACTATTGGATGTCTAGTGTCTTGTCTTTACAAACCCGGAAAATTTAATTAAATTTATCAGATTTCACAAAATAATGTTGGACTTTAAAAAAAAATTAATTAAAAAATTATTATTTACACGACGACATCTTATTAGGTGAGTTACGGAATGACGGAACAGAAAAAAATGTAAAAGTCGGATTGTACAGAAACGAAGCTGATTGATAACTCCTGATGGAATCCTCGCCCGATAACGTCCAATGATAAAAGATGATGTCAGCTGTTTCAAAGAAACAATGTTGTACTTTGTGTAAGTACTACTAGTTTTGTTTTACCTACTAGATCTAGATCTAGATCTAGATCTATTCTAGATCTAGACAATTGTGACATAAAAGTGCAATACGTGTTCACATCGGAAGAAGGAAGATTCTGTCTCCACCTGTGCTTTGTTGTTGACATACATTCATTATTCAGTACATTTGAATCATAATCATGATTGACATGATCCTCGTTACTGTTGACTGTTGCTTGAACATGATGCGTACACAAGCTAGACTAGAAGAGTTAGATAACTAGATCTAAATTCTAAATCTAGATTCTAGAATCTAGTTTTAATAGTAAGTTTGGCGCTTTTTCGGTAGTTCCCACCCCGCATTTGTTATTCGCCGGTATTGGCCCCAAGAGTAGGGTGGGTCCCCCCTGACCTAATAAAAAACATGGTGGAGGGTTTCAGGGGGGCATGCCCCCCTGAATTTTACCACAATTTAATGTTTTGCAGTTGTTAGGTTTGATATCTTAGCTTGCTGCGAATCAAACGTATAGATCTAGATGTAGGTCAGGCTCAATCAAATAAGGGGGGTGGGAACTACCGAAAAAGCACCGTAAGTTTTCTTGTCATTTTGTTCTCTTTCTTCTGTCTGCGTTTGAAGAAAAAATCTAGATTCTAGATTCTAGATTAGTTTGCTTTCTCTTACTGCGGCTAAAACAAAGATCTATTAGATCTAGATCTAGATCTAGATCTAGATAACTACTGATCTAGATTTTAGATTTAATTAGGGACTATTTGGGAGAAGTGGTACAGGCCTAACTCCATAGACATTTATATTACATTATGATGTACACAATCGGAAACAAAACCGGAAAAAAGCCTTTAAAAAAGAGTGTGTGAATACTAAGGAATTTTATTCGCACAGGGTGTTTGAATACTGTTTGAATACAATGAAATGTTATTCGCACAGGGTGTGTGAATACTGTGTGAATACTATGAAATGTTATTCGCACGAAAGTGGCTATTCTCACCCGCCCGGAAGTTCTCGCAAGATCTACTCCTTCCCTCTTCTCTCTCTCTGTCTCTTTCTGAATACTGTCTAT